CAGTTTGTTAGGGAGCATAAAGATTGGACTGTGGAGCAATGGAAGAAGGTCATGTGGTCTGATGAGTCCAGACTGACCCTGTTCCAGAGTGATGGTGCATCAGGGTCAGAAGAGAGGCAGGTGAAGTGATGCACCATCATGACCAGTGTCTCGTCATCAGTGAAAGATCTTAGTGAAAAATTAATGCAACACTGGATGAAACAGATCTTGTCATGTTGCAGAAGTTTATCGAAACAATGACACAGAGAATGAATGCCATAAAGCTAAAGACAGTCCAACCAATTATTAGTGCGACCTTTTTTTTTTTTTGGTGGCAACTTTTTTTTTGGCCAGGCAGTGTATAAAACTCTTATTTACAAGCTCTAAGTATAAAAAACACCAAAGGGCAGTCGATATTTGGCTCTAATCCTATTTGTGGTACTGTATATATTATGTGTACTCTTGAATGAAACCAGCATAATGAGCTACAACAACACTTCATTTCCCTTTGGGATTAATAAAGTAGTTTTGAATTGAACTGAAATGAATGGTATGGTGCTCAGCTTTTGTCTTACCTGCTTCATTTTTTAAATATAGCAGTCAGCATCAACTGCATGTATCACTGCTCTGCATTTCAGCTGGTCATAATGGGAATGGGAGATTTAGCGTGTTTGTGACAGGCTTTTAGTCCAAGATGTTTTGGCATGACTGGATCCTCCACTTTAAATAGAATACACACTGTATGTTATCTATTTAAATAATCTGTCTTTTATGTCATAAACTGTGTGACAAACTCTTAGATTTCCTATTAAAACAAGAAAGTGTGACCACATGCATGCTTCTTTACAGACAGTTAATGTCCACATTTTGGATCTACTTAATTTGTCTTTAATGAATGGTTATGTACCACAGAGCTTAAAGGTTGCTGTAATTAAACCTTCACTTAAAAAGTCTGATCTTGATTCAGAAATCCTGGCCAACTATAGACCTATATCTAATCTAACTTTCATCTCAAAAATTCTAGAGAAAATAGTTGCAGGTCAGTTGCATGAACATCTACAAAGAAATAATCTGTTTGAAGAGTTTCAGTCAGGGTTTAGAGCTCATCATAGCACAGAAACAGCACTAGTAAAAGTCACTAATGATATTCTCATGGCCTCTGACAATGGACTTGTGTCTCTACTGGTCCTGTTAGACCTCAGTGCTGCATTTGATACAGTTGATCACAATATTTTACTACAGAGGCTTGAATATGATGCTGGGATTACAGGAACAGCTCTAAAATGGTTTAAATCATATCTATCTGATAGATTCCAGTTTGTAAATGTAAATAATAAATCTTCTTCATACACCAAAGTTAGTCATGGAGTTCCTCAGGGCTCAGTGCTTGGGACAATACTCTTTACTTTATATATGCTTCCATTAGGTAAAGTTATTAAACAGCATGGGATAAATTTCCATTGTTCTGCTGATGACACATAATTATATTTGTCCATTAAACCCAATTAATCCAATCAGCTACTTAGACTACAAGCATGTCTTAAAGACATAAAAACCTGGATGACCCTTAATTTTCTCCTGTTGAACAGACAAGACTGAGGTTTTGGTTTTTGGACCTGAGCACCTTAGGAATGAATGTTTCAGTCTTTCTCCCTCCTTAGATGCATTAATCTGTCCTCCAGCTCTAATGTTAAAAATCTTGGTGTTATTTTTGATCAGGACATGTCTTTTATCCCCCACATTAAAAACGTTACTAGAACCTCCTTCTTCCACCTGCGTAATATCACTAACATTAGAAACATCTGATCTAAAGATGATGCAGAAAAACTGGTCCATGCATTTGTCACGTCTAGACTGGACTATAGCAATGGTTTATTATCTGGGTGTCCAAATACTTCTTTAAAACGTCTTCAGTTGATCCAAAATGCTGCTGCCAGAGTCTTAACTGGAGTTACTGGGAGAGATCATATCTCTCCAGTTTTAGCTTCTCTCCATTGGCTCCCTGTCAAATCCAGAATAGAATTCAAAATCTTACTTCTAACCTACAAAGCTCTCAACAGCCTAGCTCCATCTTATATTACAGATCTTATTGTTCCATATTTTACTAACAGAGCACTTCACTCTCAGACTGCAGGTTTACTTGTGGTTCCTAGAATTTACAAAAACAGAATGGGAGGAAGATCTTTCAGTTCTCAGGCTCCTCTCTTGTGGAACCAACTTCCAGTTTCTGTCCGTGAGGCTGACACATTATCCAGTTTGAAGACTGGGATTAAGACTTTCCTTTTTGATAAATCCTATAGTTAGGGTCGGCTTGGGTTTCCTGAGCTGTCCCTTAGTCATGCTGCTATAGGCTTAGACTGCTGGAGGACAAACTGACCACACTTTTCACTCTGCTACTGTCTTTACTTACTCTGCTCAACCTGGTTTGTATTTGTAATTATTTTTTCTGTCCTTAACATGTGGTTTTGTCTTTCAGGTACACCTGGACCTATACCTGGACTTGGACCTATACCTGGACCTATACCTGGACCTATATCTGGACTTGGACCTATACCTGGACCTATACCTGGACCTATATCTGGACCTATATCTGGACCTATACCTGGACCTATATCTGGACCTATACCTGGACCTATATCTGGACCTGGACCTATATCTGGACCTGGACCTATACCTGGACCTATATCTGGACCTGGACCTATATCTGGACCTGGACCTATATCTGGACCTGGACCTATATCTGGACCTACAGCTGGACCTGGACCTACCATTCTGTGTTCGTCTGTCTCTCCTTCCTGTCTTCTCAAACCAGCCGGTCAAAGCAGATGGTCTCTTGTCCTGAGCTGGTTCTGCTGGAGGTTTCTTCCTGTTAAAGGGAGTTTTTCTTTCCACTGTCTCCACTGTGCTTGCTCAGGATGGGAGACTGCAACGAAGCCAAGATTCAACTTGTCTGATGGATTCCTCAGATAGAGAACTTTACTAATTGGCTTTTATGTGAATGTTTCTGTAAAGTTCCAGAGACAACTTGTTGTGATTTGGAGCTTTATAAATAAACTGAATTGAACTGAATTAATTTTGTTGGGGAGCAGCTTTGCATCCAGCAATGCCAGCAAACTGAATAAACTAATAAAAGGAAGCTGACTTTGTTGTCGGCTACAGACGACCATTTTGAAGTATTGCTGGAGAAAAGAATGCTGAATAAACTGCTGCCCAGCCCAGAACATCCTCTCCTCCTCACACCAGATAGACGAGGAGCAGCACGTCTAACATGCTGCTCAAGCTCAGCTGTCACAGCAACTAATAGAGAAAATCACACACAACATGTCTGTCACATCAAATTCTAATTATTGCTTCCTCCATTTGAGCACATTAAAAATCATTCTTGAACACATACTTTTCCCCCATTTTTAAAATATACGTATTTCAATATAATGTTATTGATTTACTGTATAAGTTGCACAATTTTACTCCATTATTATATAGTTGTCAATCAATGTTTTGTACTGTTTCTTAATTATCTTTAAATAATTTTTGTCTGTTGCTGCAACAAAACCATTCCCAGGGAGGCACTAATAAAATACATCCATCTACCAACACCATCACTCTCTCCCACCAGTAATGATTCTCTCTGACCAGTCAGCAGTTTGCAATGTTTCCATGTCTCTAAATAGCAGAGTGGCTCTCAAACTGTGTGGTGAACACTCCCCAGGGTGCATTATGTCACGTCAGGAGAGGGTGCACAACTATTTCTATTTTATATTTCAGTCTTAAAATAGGTGCAGGTGGAACAAGCATTCGGTGTGACTCAGACTTGTTTGTTATACAAGCTGTATTTTCATGGCGTTTAAATGCAGCGGGCAGTGCACGAGTGAGTCCACCGTCTCTGGTCTACCACTGGGGATGAAAGTAACAGCTGAGAAAGTTTATCTGTGTAATGGAGGGAAAGAAATGTTTCAGTTGGTGGAGGTTTCACCTTAAATCTGGGATGACCCGTCAGAGCCATTAAAGGTGGGGGTGGGTAAACGCTACATTTGCTGCTGGATCTATCCCAGACATCACTGCAGCACCCTGTGCAAACAGCTGCCTTAGAGCATGGGCCAGTGTGTAGATGTGGATGGAAAGGAAAATGGGTAACACGTCAAAAACAATGCAACGAAACACTGAAACACTGATGGCTGGAACAGATAACTGTAGCAAACACAACAACAGCTTTAACAGTCAGCTTGACAGTTTTTGAGCTAAGGTTCAGTGTGAAAGTAGCTGAGAGTCATTTCTAACACATCCTCCAAGTGCTAACAGATGGCACCAGATCTGGTGATATTTTGGGCTGCGACACAACGTTGTTGTCAAGATTTGACCAGAGACGATACAATTCCATCATTTTTCAATATAACTAAATCTTCATTAAAATTCTGGCATGAAATGTGAAGAGCAATAAGAAGTTCTTGAAGAAGTGCTGGGCCTTAAATCGTCTTGTTCAGGACTATTCAACAAATCTGCTCAGGGGCAGAATTGTTTTTGAAAGCCAGCAGCTCGGGGCCGGACACCCAGCAATTAAAGTCATTATGGAAATAAACCAGTTTACAATGAGCTGTTACTTTTTAAATGTGGTTATTTTATTGCACTGAATCATAAATGCAATAAACAGAACCCAAAACCCAGAACCAAAAAAACAACTTTTTTAAAATGAAGCGGGCCGGACTGAAGATACCCGCGGGCAGGAAATGGCCCGCAGGCCTCCAGTTGAATAGCCCTGCTCTCGTTTCTCAAAAGCTGATGGAGCAGTTTATTTTTTATTGTTCTAGCAAAATACCAGTACAATTTCTGGTTGTTCCTTATTTTAAATCACCAGTTCAAAGGAGCAAGTGGTTCACCATTGTTTTCTGCTGAAACAAAGTAGATGACGAGCTTTTGCTCCCAGTAACAGCACTTCTTACTGTTGTTGAGCTCAGGGTTTCTTTTGTTCTTCATGAAGGGTGTGTGACGTGAAAATGTGGAACGCACACACACAAAGCATTTACCTGGCTGTTGATGGACTGGGAGGTGGGAGGTGGAGTCATGGGCTTGTTGACCCTTCCTCTGGGATTAAAAGCCATGGCTTGAGGTTCACTCTGAGGCCAAAAGCTCTCAGAAAACACCCCTTGCTCATCGTAGAATTCCTGAAAGCCACACAAAAACCACACACGTACATGAAGACAACACTGGCAACACTTCTGCTGCTACTTGTATTTTGGCTTCTGCATCAGTTAAAACAAATAAATTAATTTGAACTGAATTAAACAGGTGGTGCAGTTGGTAGAGCTGCCGCCTCTCAGTAAACAGGTCCCTGGTTCAAATCCCAGTTGGGTATCTTTCTGGGTGGAGTTTGCATGTTCTCTCCGTGCATGTGTGGGTTTTCTCCGGGTGCTCCAGTTTCCTCCCACAGACTAAAAACATGCATGTTAGACTCATGGTAACTCTGAATTGTCCAGAGGTGAGAGAGAGAATGTTTGTCTCATTGTGTCCCTGTGATGGACTGGAGACCTGTCCAGGTGCCCACCGCCCCTCACACAGTGACTACTGGACATGGGCACCAGTGACCCCCGTGACCCAAAATGGAATAAGCGGGTAAAGATAATGGATGGATGGATGGGACTCAGACATAATGTGGTTCTGTTTCCATTGATCCACTTGGCCAGGACACAAACATGTAAATCAGGAGACTGAAACTTTTATACAAATCTTCCATGTCTGCCTTTTTTTTTAAGTTTCTTTATTTTTTTGCTGCCATACAGTCCCTTTGCACAGAGTCAGACCTCCTAGAGGTGTTTGATGCACTCTTCCTCTCCTTCCTCTTCCTCAACAAAATCCTCACCGTCTATCTCAGACTCCATTTTTCTCCTTCATCTGTGTCGTCACAATCCTCTGAGAGGTTCGGACTCTGTGGTTCCGTCCTTCTCTGGGTCAGCAGCTGTCGTCCTCACGTTCATAAGTCACCTCATTGTTTTGACACAAACACACTAAAACTGACTAAACACACTAAGCTACACCATAACTTTACAATCCAAGCACGCTAACTCACTTCCTGGTCTGCTGCCTTCATACATCTCCTCCTACATGTCTCTGTGTGAGTGCAGCTACAGCGTGCGCTCTCAGGACATCATTACCTGCAGTGTTCCCTCAGTGAGGACTGAACTAGACAAAAGGACCTTCTCCTACTCCGCTCCTGTTTCCTGGAACATCTTGTAAAAAGACCTGAAGCTCTCGACCTTTGACCTCTCTAAGTGTCTTTAAGAATCTGTTGGACTCCTGGCAGGGACCGATGCAGACATGTTCCTGTTTTTAGTTTTATACATTCACCTTAGAATCTAGCTGTTTTGTTACTCTTTTAGCATCTTATTTGTAAATAATAAATATATAAAAATAATCTGTTTGCCTTTTTATAACTGTTTATTGTTGTTGCTGTTGTCCATTGTTGTCATCTTTCTTTGTTAAATCAGGTCTCTCTTGTAAATGAGTCCTGGAGGCTCAATGGGATTTACCTGTAGAAATAAAGGTTGAATGAATAAATATCACTAATCTCTCAAACCTCATGACTCACTTCCACTCTCACTGCAGTTTTATCGCACCAAACTCCATTCAGCTTCCACTTCTTTTTCTTCCTGTAGATTTTATTTACGTTTGACAAATAACTTTGAGCCTCGGTCAGAAAGGAGGGGAGAGCTTGTTTATGTGTTCGGCGGGGGTAGGAGGTGAGTGGAGGGTGATGGGGGTGTTTTGTTCCTGAGACTGCCCGTCTTTGCCGCAGCCTCTCGCTCCAACGCACTTCACATACGACGATGGTTTTCAGAAAAGGATGTGGCATGGATTATTTACCAGAACTCTGGTTTTACTTGGCCCAACAACACTTTTTAAAACTGTGTAGTTTAAAGTCTTCATTTTAGACATAAATTAAAATGGTGTCTCTGAGATGCTCTTTCCCGCTAGAGTGACTTGAATCAGTCAAGTAACCGACGCCCCGGGGCGTTGATTGACTTGGGAAGAAATACATTTTTTGTCAGTCATTGTAAGCAGCATCGGACACTTGAGTAGGTGACGACATCTCCGCCCGCCTCCTGTTATTGAGAAGATCACATCTTCATTTCATAATAGACGGATGCATAAACTTCTAATTTGAGTCTACAAAAACCGTACCACCCATGAAGCCAGCATCTCACTGGGGACTGGCTCTAGCTAGAGACTCAAAATTGTGGAAACTGCTCTGGAGTCAGATGTATTGATGTTCTTTTTGAAAACCATTCATGCTACAACCTTAGTACTAGAAAGGATAGGAACCATGCCATTCTTTGTCTCTCCTTCCTGTCCTCTCAAAGGTCAAAGCAGATGGTCTCTTGTCCTGATCCTGGTTCTGCTGGAGGTTTCTTCCTGTTAAAAGGGGTTTTTCCTTTCCACTGTCTCCTTTGTGCTTGCTCAGGATGGGAGACTGTGACGAAGTGAAGATTCAATGCAATATGCTGGCGTCCGTAGATGGATAACTTTTATTAATGAGCTTTTTTGAATATATATGAATGTTTCTGTTCAGTGCCCTGAGACAACTTGGCACTACATAAATAAACTGAATTGAATTCAATTGAACCATTCAGCCTACAGTTCAAAAGAATGCTTCTCTAATGGTATGGAGGTGCATTAGCGCCTATGGCATTGGCAGTTCACACATCTGGAAATGACCAAACAATGCAGTAAAATGGATACAGTCTTTAGAACAACTCCCACCCAGTAAACCATTTTTCCCTGAGGGAAGTCCTTCGATTTTAAGCATTTTTTTTGGTAAACCACATACTGCATACGTTACAACAGCATGGCTTTAAAGTAGAAGAGTCTAGGTGTTGAAGCGGTCCGGCTGCAGTCCGGACCGCTCATCAAAAAAAACCATAAAACATCTGAAGCACCATTACACAAAAAATCCTGGCAAAGATCCCAGTCTGCTGAACAGCTAAAATACTAGATGAGACAAGCGGGGGACAGCACTGGCCTCCAGAACCTCCAGAGTTTTCCTCAGTTCCAACATGTTTCAAGACTTACTGGTAATAAAAGAAGAAGGGTGGAATCACAGGGGACAACAGGGCTCCGTTGATGTGTTGCTACCAGAAAACTATAAACTTCAATTTCAAAAATATGGAGCATCCTTTTAGTTTCAAAATGCCACTGTCTTACTGTGTTCCTTTGTGAATAAAACAGATGAATGAAATTTCCAATTTATTGTATTCCAATTTTATTTGCATTTTCCAGTTATCTTAATTTTTTGGGAAAAACTGGGTTATATTTGTAAAGGTCTAACTTATGACTATTTGACTATTTAAAAATAAAAACATGCCACAATGCATTTGTTTTATAATCACACCCTTTAATTTTCATTCTTTCATTCAACCTTTATTTAGACGGTAAGTCCCATTGAGCCTCGAGGACTCGTTGACAACAGAGACCTGATTTAACTAAGAGTGACGACAACAGCAACAACAACAGACAGGTATAAAAAGTCATACAATTGTTTGTTTGTTTACAAATAGGACGGCTAAATAAGTAAGAAACGCAGCCAGATTGTAGGGCGAACGAATGATTGGTGCTGCGCTGCGACTGCAGCGGTCTTTAACGCAAAGGCTGAAAATATAAAGGAAGTGGCATGAGCTCAACTCAAAGAACAGCTATTGTTTAGAGTCACGTGATACATTTATATATTAAAAAGATGCAGCAGAGCAGCCGGAGCACCACAAGGAAGAACAAACTCAAGCAGCCTTGACTGGTTACTGCCTGTGAGCCACAAAGATGGTGAACCCTTCACAACAACTGCTGTGTTTCACCTTTAGTACAAAACATTCATTTACTCCTCATGGGTAAAAGTGTCACAACAAACACGGTCACATCAGGTCCTCAGCTCTACAGAAGTTTGCAAACAGAGTCCTCTGCTCACACCTGAGCAGCACACCAGCAAAATATGACTTTAGATGGAACGTGGCCAGTTTAGAACAGAAATAACATCCGTTGCATATTCATTCAATTTGTTTGTGTGATGCAAGAAAAACAAAGACGCTCAGACAGATGGAAAAAGTCTTAAACTAGAGTGAAAGAAAAGCCAGTTCTACAACATAGACACTAAACTGTATACACCGGTAGATCGTTTTTAGAGAATGGAGCGTAAGGAGTAAAGATTAAAATAACATTCGGTGTTTTGGTATAAACCATTTATTCCACATTATTTCTTATTATATCTTTGATGTTATTACTGTTTTTCTTATACATTTTATTGTTGGATGTAACTGGGACCCTGTGTACATAATTTCGCTCCACCACATGTACCACATGAGGTGCGAATGACAAAGAATCTCTGACTCTGACTATTTCATGTGTTGTAAAGATAAATAAAATCTACCCTAAGACGGAGGATTTAATGACTCAAAAAGTGGATTTATTCATAATTGCCCACAGTTTGCATTTTGCAGTGTTCTTTGCTGCCTAAAGGAGGCACATTTTTAAACATTTCAAATCCTGTTCTAATGTGCAGAGCTTTGGAGAAAGCTGAGCAGCAAAGCTGAATGTGTGAGTCTGCAGCAGATGCTCCTTGTGTAGTCTGCAGCGTAGAGCCGGCTGCCGCATAACCCTGCTCCACCGTGTTTCCCTCTCCACTTACTTCAGGACTTGTGACACAATTGCTCATTAGAATCCAAATGCAAGCAGAGCTTTGAAAAAATAATGTTTAGTAGAAGTTTTATCTCCTCAACATTCACATTGCTTCACACAGCGTCTTTCTCCATGGAGCAGTTGTTAAATTATTAAAATATTCAATAAGCGTGGGCTTCAGTGATTCAGTAGAATGTCACATTTATAAACTAGATTTATTTTTGGTTAATTATAGCTCAGGTTCGTTCAAGGCTCTGCATGTGGCCTGTAAATGAATGTACCTGTCCGAAGCTGGCCAAGGAGTCCTGGGGGCCCTGCTGCTGTTGATCTCGTCTTCCATCCTCCAGTGAATAGACGGTCCCATCTGTGTCCTGTACCCCCTCGTCTTTCACCACCACTCCCTCGCCTCCAAGCACCTGAAATAAGAAAAGTCCACGTCAGTTTTAGGTGGTAAAAAACAAATCCAGCATGCAACTGAAGTCACAGCAAGCAGTCGTTAACCCAGCAACAGTCCATTCAGGAGGTTCCAATCGCAGCCATGACCTACAGTTAATATGCAGAAGTCCATAGATCATCAACAGGGATGGGGCTGCTGAAGATGAGACGACAGATTCAATTTTGCAAAGTGCAGAAACATCTCAGCAATATACGCCAATGCAGTGTGAGAAGAGGGAAAAGCATATAAAGACAGAAATGGAAAATGTTGCAGCTCTGCATGCCTGAAAGCTGTAACCATAGCAACCCTTCCCCTTATCCCCCTACCTGGAGTCTGAGCGGCTGCCTCTGCTTGCGGCTGTGGCTCGCCCCCCTGTCTCTGTCTCCATCTCTTCCTCGCTCTCTCCCGTCCAAGTCCTCCTCCTCGCTGTATCGGTCTATCCCTACGAGGTCATCAGAGAGGTCAGTCGTGTTGCCACGGAGGCTGTCCCTGCCGATGCTATCCACACTGGCCACACCGGAGTTGCAGCCCGCGGACAGGTTCCCTGCGTTACTAGTGCTGGCGCCGTTGGCCGTGTGGGCCAGGAGGTCTCGGAGCTTGTACCTTACATCCTGAGTACAGCTGGAGCTCTGCTTCATGAGGATTGAACCGGGCCCTGCTCCCATCCCATCACCGCCACTGCACATGGAGCCGGGCCCCATGTCGCCAAGCGCCATCAGACTTACAGTGCTGTTTTGATCCATAGGGCCTGGGCCGCTCTCGCTGGCACCCCCCAACCCCCCTCCCATGTTGCCACCACCACATTCAGCCATGAAATTAGAGAAGTTTGCGTAACCTCCACCGCCGCCAGCACTACTGACTGAGCAGCTTCCACTGCTGCCACTCTCTCTACCTTTGCCTATGGCACGTTCCTCTTGTTTAGGGAGAACCCCTCCAAGCATCCCCCCTCCTGCTCCAGCCCCTGCAGCTGCTGCAGCAGCTGCTGCAGCAGCTGCACTTGCTGCCCCTGCCGCCGCCTTCCTCTGAGAGATGATCTGGGTACACTCATCAATGACCGTCTTGATCTGCAAGATGCTGGCAGCTGTGAGGATGCAGAGGGCCTGAGACTGCAGCACGACCAGTGAGCCGCTGTACATGAAATCCACAAGCTGCTTCACGGTTTCAGCAGGCACCAGAGGCGGCACAGATATTTCAGAGTGACCCAGCAGCAGTTTGTCCTGGAAGAAGGGGCTGCCAGCCGCCAGGACGCAGGCGTGGGCACGCAGCGAGGCGTCATGGATCCGCACGGTCACATCACAGAAGAGGCCCTCGCGCCGTTGGGTGCGCAGGGCTTCAAGAACTGACTGGCTGGAATTGTGCAGATGGATGTAATGCACGGTTTCTGTGCCGGAAACCATGGCAGGAGGGGGCGAATCACTGGGGATGGGGTGGGGGTGGGGGAGGGGAGCAAGGTGCCTGGGGTTTTGCGTCAGCTTGAGGTATAAGGTGGACTGGCAGAGAAACGGATAGAGTGCATGGGCCACAAAGTGGGCTGTGGCTCAGTCCGTCATGAGTTGGATGAAAGCTTCAGAGCTGCTTGTCTGCAGGCGCTCAGGTCACTGGTGCAGGTGCTCAGTCACTGGTGCAGGTGCTCAG